GGGGAGGACCAGTCTACTCCCGTGACTCCTGGGTCTTACCTTTTGCTATGTCCAGGGAAGTACCTGATGTATTTGTTGTCGTGCAAGGACAGGTAGCGAATGGTATCTGTAAGAAGACAAGTAAGTCGTGATGACTACTATTCTACAAGGGATCCTAAAGAACCAAATGTTTATAACCCGAGTCAAGTGTGACCAGTAATCTCTCCGCAGACGGAGGAGGGAGTAGGCACATTCCACTCGGCTCAGAAACAGGGAATCCCCAAGCCAATAGCACACCGAGCAACATTTAAAACCAATGTTCTACTACCAACCTTTGTCTTCTTTAGAATTACAATACAACTTGCCCAACAAATGTATCAAAACAAACAAACAAACAAAACCAAATTGTTTTAGGTGCTGGCCTCGTGTGCCCACAGGATGGGAGACTTTACAGAGAAACCTTTGGTCCCTGAAAGAGCTGGCTCAAAGAGGTGAGCTGCCGTGTTGAACGCTATGTCAGGTGGGACGTCGACCCACCCTGGCATTATTTGACTCAAATGGATTAACAACTTATATTAAAACTGAGTAAAATGGAAAGAGAAGTAGAAGAGTTACTCACCTGCCCTATAAAGAAAAAGACTTCCGCCCTCGTTACCTGGTTTCCCAGAGGTGAGCAGGCACCACCAATCCTCTCCACCCAGTTCGGTAGTTGGTGCGCTGTCCCTGGCAAGGCAGTGGCCTGTACAGTTATCTCCTGTACCGGGTGGTATCATAGACCCTCAAACTGTACAAACTACTACCTCAGCCTGGAATCAGGCAAAAGGAAACGGAGCGCTGGAAGAACTCTTCTCTTCAGGATGCACTTGAGACAGGAAAGGAAACACCCTCCCAGCAGAGGCCTGTTTGCCTCATGATGCACTGTTTGGAGACTCCTCAGTTAATGCCCAGAAAGACAGCCCAGCAGAAGAAATACACCAAGTTTATAGTCTTTGTCCAAAAACACCTACTGCAGCAGTTTACTTAGAAACCCAATTCTGAAGTAGAAGCTTGAAAAGTAGAAAACGATATGCTTAACTAAAAATAAACCACACGTAGGCAAGTCTCATGACAAAAAGACTTCTGCTTCTGTTTTAGATAAATTCACTGCCGCGGAGGGCAGAGTAAAGGTCAGAGCAGGCTTCTGAGACTCACTATGTGTGGGCGCAGAATCCCTCATCTTTCTCCCAAGGGGTGGCTGACAGTTTCCAACTGCCCACTTGCTGCCAGCAGCCCAGTGAGTAACCACGAGGTCACCCAGGCTCCTGTCTGTGGCGACAGGTACAGTCTACAGCAGCCTAGGCGACCTTTGTTGAATGACATTAAGAGAAACCTTTCTGCAAAAAGTGAAACAGTAAAGCGGTCCTATGAGTCAAAGATGAAACAAAAACCTACAAGCGTCAACGTGAAAGTAAGTGTTACAACTCAATTGCCAAGAGAAGCTGTGAGAACAAATTACAACAGGAGAAATACAAGGAAGAATAAAGACTATTGTTACACAAAGAAATCCCCAAGTTTAATTCCTAAAAGTAACTTTTCACTCTGTAACGATAGTAGCTTTAACAGTAAAAACGGATTCAATTCGGACCAGCCCCCGCCCCCCCAATCAAAGAGACTAAGGCCAGTCCCGCGTAGTGTCCTTTCTGATATGACTGTGGAAACTGTGGAAGGTGGGCACACACCCAAACCACGTTCCAGCTTCCTTCAGCCACTAGAGCTCGAGCCTTCGGGAAAAGGTGTTTGGAATGCACTGCTGTTTACCAGTGTCTGCATCAAGTGTTCTTGATGTCAAGTTTCAAGAAGTAAGAACCATAAAAGCAACCATTGTTTCCTTTCCCCACCCTCCTCAGCTGGAGCCCTTCCACACCCAGGCCCAGTCCTGCGAAAGGGCTCCTTAGGGTGCTGACCAGCAGTCCCTCGCCATCACAAGGCCATCAGCACTGCTCACAGCAGAGAAGACATGTAAATAAAGTTACCTATAAATACAGCAGTAGGGCCATGGAAATGCCACCAAAATTTAACAAGGATCCTAGCTTCCTGGAAAGGTCTGCTTACCATCGATTTTGTTAGAGCTGTAAACCACCGTGTTCGCCGCATGGGTGTATCTGATGAGGTCCACGCCATATTTCTTACTGTACAGGGTTCTCTTTGGTCTGAAGAGGGAATGAGCAGAGAAAGGAAACCATCAAGATCTACCCATCACTAAAACGGGGGAGCCTTGGTGTGGTGGTGAGGGGAGGATCCTTTGTTAAGCTACAGCCCTGGAAAGACACAGAACCTCTCCCAACAGACAGAGCCAATCAAAGTTCAAGAAAAGCCCATGGACGGCTAACACGGAGGTTAGAAAGTGAAAGTGGATCCCAGACTGTCAGTGCCTTCTTTATACAATGTTCACAAGTGAGCTCTGAGCGAGGGAGCAGAGGCGCACAGAGCACCTCAGCGCTGACTGAACAGGAACGGTCTGGCAGAGCCAAATCAATGAGGCCAGACTTTCCGCAAAGCCATTCACTTAGAAGCTTTCTTCAAGGCGATGATTTATCACAGCTGGAAACATGCCCTTGCCAAAGATCTCCGCTCCTTCTGACCCTCCACAACCCACAGCACTTGCTGCACCTTTCGGAAGAGCCCATTACTAGTCAAGGGCTCTTTGTACTTTAAAGTAAAATCCGTTCCCAAGCTTAGAGGTAATCGATCCATTTGTTGCTATCCCTTTAATGTCTTCCTCTAGAGCAGTGGTTCTCAATCTTCCTAATGCCGAGACCCTTTACTACAGTTCCTCATGTGACCCCCCTACCATAAAATTATTTTCACCGCTTCTTCATAACTAATTTTGCTGTTATAATCGGGCGACCAACAGGTTGAGAACTGCTGAAGAGAAACCTTGAAGATCAGCTGAAACTGATCTCGGCAAAATCTTTAACTAAAAACTTTCTCAGACTGTTTAAATTAGCCAAAACTTTTTATCTCCCAAATACCGATGTAACAGGAGATTTTAATGTAGGAATGATTCTCCCAACCACACCAGGTCAGCAAGCAAGCAAGCCTTTTTTTAACACGATGCTCTACATTCAGATCCTGGGAGGATTTCATATATCTCAGACCAATGCTGACCAAAAGTTCCAATTAATAAAGAGTCATCCACCTCTCACGGGAAAAAATTCTCTTGGAATCTAGATGTGAAACAACTCAGGTGGTCTTGAGAAATCGATCATGGGCATTTTCAATTTTTGTTACTATCAGTAAAGACAAGATAAAAGTCTTCCAAATTTGACTCAGCACTCCCAATGCCCTGGATTTTCCACATTTCTACTGACTGAAGTAACAGCCCTCCGAGCAAAGATGTGCTTACGGGCTCCCTGGTTGAGTCCAGCATCCGTCTGAGGGTATCTGCTGTGTGCAGAGCCCGTGTGAGCGTGCACTCAAACATCTCAGCTGGTCCACAATGTGAGGGGTCTTTCGAGACAGGCCCAATTGTCTCAAACTGATCAGTCACATCACCCTAAAATCTGTTCCCCATGACAGAAACCAGTAACTCTCTCACTACTTATGGGGCCTTTACACATACTCTTTTGGTTAGCTTCCTGCCTCAAACTATGATGCTGAAAATGAGGTATAAACAATATTAAAGCCTTCTCTTTGAATAGTTCACATCAACTACCACAAAGACCATCCTTTCGCGTTTCTGAAGATGAAAGCCACTCAGTGAATGATCTCCACTCTGAGCCAAGAGTGGACTGTAAGCAAGCATGGCGGATCTTGTCTTGGGCATTCTTTTTAAAAATAATTCAAATACATTTTATTTTCTTTCTTACTTTTTAAAACCACATTATCATGGGCATATTTTAATCGTGTAACTATTAACCAGAAGGCACCTACGTTTGGTGGCTTAGAACTTATTTGCCACGGAAAAGACTGTTTCAATGAAACAACTAAGGGCTGGGTCCTCTAGGGAAGCAAAGCCCAGTGAAGTGTGGGATGCACACATGTAACTCGAGAAGTTTGTATCAAGGAAAACGCGCAGGTGGGCTAGCTCCAAGCGCACAGGTCAGCTGTCGGGCTGCGGACGTCTCCGTCTGCACGAAGCTGCAGGGCAGACACTCAGGATCAGCCCTCTCTGCTGGAGGCGAATGCCGCCAAGGCTGGCAGCTACGGGGCAGGCTGCTGACAACTGCAGCCCACAGGGGATGCAGCAGGCCACTCTGGGACTGCCACGATCTTACCAGCCAGGTCCGAGCACAGCTCGGGCAGAGTCTCTATTGCTGGCCAAGGCCGGCGGCGTGACTACAGGCAACCACACACGTCACAGGAAGGGACTGTACCGTCTTAGTCATTCATAAGTTTCCAAAATCTAAAGCTGGTCCCACTGAAAATACTATGCCACCAGAGAAATAGTGCATTTCTCCCAGTGTTGCTTTGATCAGCATGCCTGACAACTTTCCTCCACCTTACCACTGAACGGACTCCTGGAGGCCAGGAGGCATCAGGGTTGCAAGCCAGCAGGTAACCAGGAGCAATGTGACCAGCGCACAGAGGGCGCGGCTGTCTAGACCATCTAGAAGCCAGGAACACACAGGCCTGCCTCCCAACTCCTGTACCGGTCCTCCATCTTACCACAGGCCACAATGACAAGGTCACCAACGATCAGACTCTAAAAGAGCACGTCTCACAGCACTCCATCAACACTAACATTTCTAACTTGGGTAACTGTGCTCTGGTTATGTAAGGCAATGTCCTCATGCTTAGGAAATCCATGTTGAGTTGCTTAGGGATAGAGGGATTTGACACCTCCAACTTACTGTGGTGGTTGGGGGAGGGAGGACCCCCGCCCAAAGCAATGCACACCCAGAAATACGTATCCATAGACTGAAGGAGCAAACGGAGCTCAGCAAACCAACTGGTGATGAATCTGGGAGTTCTTCGAAACCCTACAACTTTCCTACAGGTTTCTAATGATGTAAAAATGCTACCTGAGAATGAATTGAATTGTGCCAGCCACCAAATGGGCATTTGACTTTTTAGTAGTCTTCACGTACGAGCACCCTTCCCAATGAAAAATCACACCGCCGCTGGAGGCAAAACGGAGGAGAGGTGCTCCTCGTGCGCAGGCAGGAAGCATTTCAAATCGCTCCTGGCGCCAGGACCCTCGGACTTCACCTCCCACCCTCTCCGCGTGGACAGCTAGTCGCTACGCTATGCTCATTCCAGTGGGCAGACCTGGACAGGGATCCCTCCATCACTAAATAAATCACGTGGGCTCAAACCGCCCCGTCCCAGTGCGGCTCACAATTAATCTGCCCCATTGCCCCCACCCGCCCCTGCAAGCAGAGGCGCAATTACATAATACTTGCTCCTCGGCCCGGGG